CTCTTAACGACCATCCTCCTAAACCAGAGCCCCCAATGAAACGAGCGCAGGCCGACAAAGCCATGGGACAAACCATCCACGACCTACTCGACAAAATGCGGACCGAATACCAACGGGAACCAATCAGTCGCACGCGAATGGGTTGGTCGAGCACATCTATGGTATAGCGATCACGCAGGTGGCGTACTCTTCTCCCACCTCAAGGTCGACCAGAACCTCGAGCCATTCCGCATCTTCGGCAACAGCATGCTCGTGGCCGCACCCATGCGAGAGGGCAGCCCACGCCATCCACGCGTAAGTCACATCACCCATCGCATCAAGCAGATGCGCAGCCCCTAAACCCATCCTGGCACCATGCGACGACCGCAGCACCTTCGAGCGCGAGGTCTACATCGAGATACTGCTGACGCGAGAGCCATCCTCACAGGGAGAAAGAACCCACAAAGAGGAAGCTACAATGATGACCGCAATCGAAAACACAGCCCACCTATCGGACACTGCCACACCTACGAACAGTGGCGATGCAATCACTAGCACAACGCCGATAATCACACCCTCACAGGCGACTTCCGACCCAGCTCACCAAGCATCCCGTCGAAGCGGGCCCACCTCGGGAACGAAACCAGTGAGCTTCAAAGCCCCGCCTACCCTGCCGACCGCCAAAGAAGACACATCAAAGCAGCCAACGGGCAAGATCGACTACGAGGGCAAGGCCGCACAGCAGGAGCACGATCCAGGGGAGCAACACATGCCCATTACCGACTCCAACAGCTGCGACCCGGCGTCAAGCAACACCACCCCCGCAGCAAATGGCAACCAACCACCTGCCATACAAGTCGAAGCGCAAAAGCCCACTGGATGGTTCCCAATCATGACGGTCAATCACGAGAAGGTCAACCCAGACACAATCACCTTTCCCATGGGAGCATACGCCGCCCGTACCACGCCAAGCTGGAGGACTCCATCGCACACGGCATCACAACGGCTAACGAGGGCGACGATGTCACAATCCTCAATACGTCCTACAACAGCAATGCCGACCTATGGACACGGGGTCCCATCACTCAGACAAATAGCATGCGAAGAAACAAACAAGCTCTGATGTCAGATATCACCACCGAGTACCGCTCCCAATACAACAACATCCAGGAGAAGCTCGACGCCCTCACCACGATGGTAGGGGAACAACATGTCAGCTACAACCAGGCCCCCGACATCCAGAAGGTACCACCACGGCCAAGGACTCCGCTTCCAAGTTCCTCGACAGGCTCAACCACTACATCAACCAACTACGCCCCTAACCACTGGGGATGGCCATCCTCGCCATCACCCATGCAGGCGTGGACGGCCGAACGTGGTGCCCACGCGCCCGACGCCGCCACGGCGCAACCTGTCACGTTCTTCCGACCTCTCTGGCCCACGCTCCAACCGACCTCCTCCACTCACACTCTGATAATCACTACGACTCACATGAATCGACCTTCCCCCAGCCAACAAGGATTACCCCACCTGGACGCCACTACACTGAGGCCACGCCTCAGGGTCGGACCGACCTTACAGCGGCTGACCGTGCGACCCCGTTATCTCACAACGAGCGCACCTACCTACCCATCTCCCCCAACTGCGTCAGAGTACTGACGAATGGCGGCAACGCCCTGGGTACGGCGACTACTTCAATTGCACCGCCTACATCAAGTTCGTGATCTGATTCCACCTTTCGTCCCCAACCTTCCCCACCTTCCTGGTCCTCGTGCCTCGTCCCGCCAACCTTCAACCCCCACTCATGCGGACTCGGGATGGGCGGGGATATCATGAGAGGTGGAAGAGGAGGACATAGAGACCTGCTCACCGCGCTGTCCCCGCCCACCCACCAGTGCCTAGGGCCCTTCGCACCGCACATGTTCCTTGTCTTCTCCACCTGGTCTCTACAATTAGCATGCATGCTGCAGGCTCCCGCACAGTACGCTCAAGGCCATTCCACTACTTCTTATATTCTCCACCTCGCCTTTCAGGCCGAGCGAAGGCGCAGTTCAGGTCCCCACTCCAAAAGAGCATGGTAACTGCGCCACCTCCTAGAGAGCATTGTAACTGCACACCGTTGCCTCACCCCAAAAGAGCACGCTACTGCAGCCGCCTCCGCGCCAAGCCGTTTTTGGCACCGCCTGTGGCATTCAGCTCCTACGTACTCACCTTCACCGCAATGCGCCATCTCACCTTTCAGGCCGAGCGAAGGCGCTGCAACACCGCCTGTCGCATCCCATTTAGTCGCGCATCCACCTACTTACCTACCTCTGCGCCCTCCCGGCTCCACCTCCTGTGTACCTTCGAGGCCTCCTATACCTCCTTCCTCCTTCCATGCGGACAGGGGCTAAACCACCTCCTCTTGCCCCTCCCCCTCCTTCCCTCTGGTTTCCCTTTCTCCCCGTCGTTTTTCCTCTTCCTTGCCTCTGAGCGCCTTTTAGAGTTACAGGTGAGGCCTTTACCACCCTGGCTGTTCTGTTCAGGCGCCCCACCTCTCCACTCCTATCTAGGTCATTATGTACCTCGTTTCTTACATCTTGCTTCTCACCCTTTCAACTCGGCAAAATCCGGTGTCAAAAATACGCGGAGGGGGCCTGGGATATTTCGGACAGGGTCAGGTGAGAGACTAGAGTATTTTTTCCAACTGTGTAATTGTGGAGGGAGGGAGAAGGAAAAGGGGGAGGGAGGAAGAGAAGGAGGGAGAAACGGAGAGGGATATGAAGGATGAGGGAGAGAAGGAGGAGCTTGGGGTAGCTAGGAGGAACGAGAAGGAATAGTAGGAGAAGAGGGAGGAGGAGCAGGAGGAGGAGGAACAAGAGGAGGAAGAGGAGCGAGGAGCGAGGAGCCGGAAGGAGGGAGGATCGATGAGAGGGGGGGAGAGAAGTAGGGAAAGAGGCAAGGAGAAAGATGAGGGTGGAGCAGGCGGAGGCGGCCTCCCTGCTGCCCGCTCTTCCTCCCTGCTCTGGTCCCTCCATTCCTTTCCGCTATAAGTAGCTCCTCCCTGGCACAACCCGAGGCCAGTCGGAAGGGCGGGCCGGGCGTCTCGCCTGAGATTCCTTACCATGTACGGTCCTGAAGCTTCCAAATTGGCAGCAATTTCACAAATCGCGGGCGCTGAAGCTTCCAAATTGGCAGCAATTTCACAAATCGAGGGCGAATCGCTCCCAAAATGCGGTTCTCCCTTCAGCGCCGCGTGCATTCGTGTTTAAAACGTTTGCCAGGGTTTCACGGATTGAGGGCGGGTCTTTTTCACAGTGGATCTCGCCTCAGCGCCGCGCGCACTCGTCTTAAACATGTGCGAGAGCTCCACGGACTCTCATAGTCAGCGTGCCAGAAAATCGTCTTGGAGCGACTCAGGGTTGTGAACGCGCAAAACTTACGTTGATCCGCGCTGTTGGATTCCCAAGAATGGCGTCTTGCCACGAGTCACAATCGTCAATACGCAACAATCATGCTGATTCGTGGCGCTGAAATCCAAATTGTGCTGTTTTGGTACGCTTCAGGATCTTCAAACGGTTGTCTCCAAACGGACACTTCCCTTAATGGAAATGGACCCGTGTAGGCGCCTATGGAAAGGGAGCTCGGAGGGAGGGTGTATTCCAACATCGTTAATGAGTCTTGGGATTGCACTGGTCCTCCTTCCCCGCATCATTTCTGCTCTTCCTTTTCCCTCCTCCTCCCCTCCTCCCTGTTTCCTCCTCCTCCGCATTCTTCCTCACAACTGTTCGTCTGGTTTGCTCATCATGCTTCTACCTGCATCCTTCCTCCTCCACCAAACTTCCCTTCCTTCACACTTCCTTTTCTTGTGAACAGCTGCTCCTCGTTGCAACCCCAGGCGTGTCGGTAGAGCGGGCAGGGCGTTTCGCTCGAGACTTTCTGTCACACGACTGTTACCATGAACATTGAAAGAGCCAGCAGGTCCACATATGGAGCGCATGCACATGTCAAACTTAGGTTCGTGCTCAGAAAGAAGAACTGTCCCGAGAGTCGCGCGCTTTCGCTTGAAACAATTTCAACAACACTGACGGTGGGCGGTACATGTCTGAAAATCGGATTCATCGCCGAATGCCATGAGCATCTGGATTAAACGCTTTCCAGGGTTCCAGGGTTACGCTGAAGGGCGGCAATTACAATTTAGAACAGGAAGCTCTCGCTCAAGACGCCCTCAAGTCGAATGGTTATCACACCAGAGCGATCCTTCAATTGCAAGGATGGAGGGTGTCTCCTTGTCAAACAACTGGGCTATCGCTCTAGACTCCGCGCGTTCGAACGCAATACCTTCCAATTTGCGTGGATACCGTTAATCGGTTGTTGTCAATCTTGTATGTCCCTACATTTCTACCTCGTGGCATCTCTTCTATACAGCCACATGAACGGACGGAGAATGCTCTTCAAAACGGGGCCCTCGCTTGAATGGCAAGAACTCCCTCAATGGCAAATCATGCTTGCACAGGCTGCAAGGAGAGGACCTGGGACGGTAGGTTGCGTGGTGGAACTGCATGTGGACCCTGCCACTGGGGCCTTGGGCGGAGCGCCCACAAACCGTGCGAGGGGTGCGCAGAAATGGAGGCGGAACTGCATGCGGACCCTGCCACTGGGACCTTCGGCGGAGCACCCTATGGGGCCACCGAACGTGTGAGGGGTGCGTCGGAATGGAGGTGGAACTGCATGCGGACCCTGCCACTGGGACCTTCGGTGGAGCTCCCTATTGGACCACAAAACGTGTGTGGGGTGCGCCGAACTGGATTGCAGCATCGTTTGCGCATCCTGGGTTTACTCCGACCATCCTCCCAACCCTCCAGACAAGCCAGCCCCCACCTCTCTCCGCTGGCCAGAATGTCGAAGCGAGTCTAGCCGTGGCGCCGTGGCGACGAGTGCGCCCCCTGAGGCAGAAAAATGACGAACAAACATACAGCAACTTTGTTCCTCGAACCTCGAACCTCGAACCGCGCTCGCTCGGCGAGTGGCGCCGCGCTGTCCTGCTTCATCGTGGAGAACAGGTTGACGCCCAGGATGCTATACAGTATCTTGCGGGGCCAGCGGCCAGCTGGGATCGGCGCCGTGCCGACATCGCGGGAAGGACGTGCAAGAGTCCGAGCCCGGGGTCCGCACACGACCACCGCCAGGGGAAACTGTGTCCCAGGAACCCAGGAAAAGGTGGACATGGACATCCCTGGTACACCCCCAGGAACCCGGAGATATCCATATCGGGAAGAGCGTGTTCTACCGCTGCTGGCGGAAAACCGGGGGGGGTCATTACCGGTTCGAACCCCTCCCCCCCCCCCTCCGGAAAACCGAGGGGGGTCACTACCGGTTCGAACCCCTCCCCCCCAGTTCATCATGAAAAGGAGAGGGGTCACTACCGGTTCGACCCCCCCCCCCCCCCTTCGAACGCGAAAACCGAGGGGGGGTCACTACCGGTTCGAACCCCCCCCCTCCTCGAAAACCCAGGGGGGGTGCGGACAGTGGTGGGGACGGTGGTGGTGGGGACAGTGGTGAGGGGACAGCGGGACAGTGGTGGGGACAGTGGGACAGTGGTGGGGACGGTAGTGGTGGGGACAATGGTGAGGACAATGGTGGGAACAGTGGGGACAGTGGGACAGTGGTGGGGACGGTGGTGGTGGGGACAGTGGTGTGGGGACAGTGGGAATGTGGTGGAAACAGTAGGACAGTGGAGGGTATAGTGGTGGTGGGGACAGTGGTGAAGGCGGTGGCGAGCACGGCGGTGGGACAATGGGACAGAGGTACAGTGGGGACAGTGGTGGGGACAGTGGGGACAGTGGTGGGAACAGTGGGACAGCTCAGTGGGACAGAGGAGGAGTCAGTGGGACAGTGGGGACAGTCGGGATAGTCGGGCAGTGGTTGGGGCCGTGGAGAAAGTTGGGAGAGTGGAACCGTGGTGGGAACAGTGGTGGGGACTTTGGGGACAGTGCGACAGTGGTGGTGGCACTGGTGGGGACAGTAGGGGCGGTGGTGGAACCAGTGGGGACAGTGGTGGTGAGTGGTGCTGGGAACAACAGTGGGGGATGTGGTGAGGACGGTGGTAGGGACCGGGCGTCGTTTGCTGGCGGTGAGAGGGGGGGTGGGGAGGGGTTCGAACCGGTAGTGACCCCCCCTGCGATTTTCGAGGTGGGGGGGGGTTCGAACCGGTAGTGACCCCCCTCGGTTTTCGAGGGGGAGGGGGGGGGGGGGGGGGAGGGGTTAGGGGATGGGGGGGGTTTTGCCGGGGGAGGAGGGGGGGGGTCCAGCAGGGGGAGGGGGATTTTCGGAGGGGGGGGGGGAACCCCCGGGCTCCGGAGGAAAAGGGCGGCAATTTTCCACAGTAAAGCGGCGGTGGATCACATTCTCTCCCACAACGGGACATCGTTTCCCCAGGCAGTGGACACGCATGAGCTCCAGCCTCGAACTGGCGGCACTCGGCATCCCGCCTCCACCACGAGAAGGAGAGGAAGGGAAGGGAGGTCTCCCGGGGTCCCCCAAGTCGCCTGGCGGCAGGCCCTGAGGCCACCGCTTGAGGCGTCCAGAACCCGCCCGCCAGCAAAAAAATCCCAAACAACTTCTTCATCCTGGGACGGACAAAAGGAATGGGGAATCTAGGAGTCGAGGGAACACCTGCCACGAGAACCGACAAATCGTGAAGGATCGAGCGAGCATCGAGAAGGCTCACACAATATCGAATGAAGACAGGGAAAGGGGAGGAGCCCAGCGGACTGGTCGCTCTGACTGGGGGGGCCTGCCCAAGGAGGGGGGCAGAGCGAGCTGCTGGCGAGGCAGGAGCCAATGACAAATCCGCGCCCCTCTGGCGAATAGAAAATACACGTCCTTCCCCCTCCATGTCTTTGTTCCCCGCCCCTCCCTCCCCTCCTTCTGGCCCCCCCTTGTCTCGCACTCCCTCTTCCCGCCTCCCTCTCCCTTTGGCTCCCTTCCCCTCAACTCCAACCTCCCACCTTTTTCCTCGATCCTCCCCGTCTCTCTCACTCTCTGTTTTGTTTGTTCTCTCTCTCTCTCTCCCTCCCTCCCTCTTGTTTTTTTGTTGTTCTCTCTCTCTCTCTCTATCTATCCCTCTCTCTCTCTCTGCTTCACCCCCATTGGAAATGTCAATCGTGCCGTGCCGAGGACCCGCCACCCAGACGAGAGGGCAAATGCTCAATCGCTGAACGCTCAGGAGCGGATCCACCACTCTCATCTTAGCGCGCCCTTACGCGGCCCACCAGGGATCCGACGGGGACGGCCGCGAGGCCAAGGGTGACGGCCACCGCGCCATCGGTATCGCGCAACACACGGGCCGCAGGCAAGCCACCTCACTACGGCCTGCAGCCAGCAACAAGGTGACCGCGAGACAACTCTCACCGCCAACATTCGAGAGCTCCACGAGCGAGCCAATCAGCTGTTTACCTTTCCACCATCAGCAAGAACTACAAGCATCGCTAGTCGACAGGTTCCACCGTGCGCAAGAGGTTTGGAGCGGCCTGCAGCAGTCCTTGCGGCCTTCTGCGGCCATGGGGACGTCCTTGCACCCACGGCAGCCTCCAGACCGGCCTTGACGCTCGAAGGGCGGCACACCAATGCCAGCCCCTCTACTCGTCGGGCCTTGTGACCTGCTGGCACCTGTTCCGTCGTGTGTTCCTTCTGGGCCGCCGCTGGGGATGCCCCAAAGCGGCGCCGGCCTTTCCTGGGCGCCGAGGTACGCATGGCAATCCGTGCCGAAAGCCTGTGCCTCTCTCTGCACGTGGGCGCAGACGGGCCGTGGGGGAGGTTATGCCACCACCCTTGTTCCATATGCGGCACCTCCCGCTTTGCGAGGAAGGCCTGCCTGGCACGTGCGGCCCGGGGGCCTGGAAGATCTGTCGCCCGAAATGCTGCAATCTATATATATATATATATATATATATATATATATATATTATACGTATAGATATATACTTCGCTCTGCCGCCCTCTGCCCCCCTCGCTCTTTCCAGGTGCCTCGCCCTCTCCCCCTCTCCCCTTCCTTCTCTCGGTCAGATGTAGATATACCCGTGTGTACGAAACTACCTATCTTTGTGTACATGTATACATATATATATATATATATATATATATATATATATATACATGCACACACGTGTCTAGGTCCCTGTCTCGATGCGTGTGTATTCTGTTGGACATAAATTTACACATATACAAATATACAGATATAAAGTGAAATTCGATCAACACACATACATATATATATATATATTTATATGCTACTCTCACCTGTTTTTGTGCACTCCGCCAGGGAGCTTGTCAGGCCAGGACCTCTGGGGGCTACTCAGGGGTTAACCCAGGAGTTGGGAGAGGTCCCGTCCCATCAGCGGCCACCAAGGGCCTCCCAACCCGCCTGGCACAGCCGTGGCGCTTAAGCACCCGCGCTGCGTCCCAGACGCGCTGGGCCCTTGCCCCGCCGGGAGGTTAAACGTCACCAACCCCTGACCCCCTAGCTCTCGTCCTGGCAAAAACTCGCGCGGAGGCAGGCACGGCCACGCGCGAGACGGTAGCAATGCTGCCCCCTGTCTGTGGGTGGGCCAACACAGCTACGGAAGATGGATGAAACTCACGCTATCCATCAACGGCGTCGCGCACGCTCAGGTGGACTCCGCATAGGTTTCCTTGGAAGGTTCATATATGCTACTCTCACCTGTTTTTGTGCACTCCGCCAGGGAGCTTGTCAGGCCAGGACCTCTGGGGGCTACTCAGGGGTTAACCCAGGAGTTGGGAGAGGTCCCGTCCCATCAGCGGCCACCAAGGGCCTCCCAACCCGCCTGGCACAGCCGTGGCGCTTAAGCACCCGCGCTGCGTCCCAGACGCGCTGGGCCCTTGCCCCGCCGGGAGGTTAAACGTCACCAACCCCTGACCCCCTAGCTCTCTCCACGGTCCCTACCCTGGCAAAAGCCGCTCCTTCTTGCTACTTATGCCCTCCACCTTGGTGCAATGACATGAGGGAAGAAAGGTGGAGGATGGGCGGGACAAACAGACAGGCAGCTCAAAGCAAGAACAGTCCATCTCGCCTCTGCTCGCAGGCACGCGCGAGCAGGTTGCAGCGCCTCCGCTGCGCGGGCGAGAGATTTAATTCAGTGGCTTCGGCGACGGCATCATGGACGTAAAGCGGGCCGTGCGCGCCGATGCCATCTGCCTCGGAGCAGCGTCTGCTCATGGAGCTGTGGCTGCGGAAGTCGGCGGAGGCGCCTCCTGACGCCAGCTGTAACGAGTGAGCTTGGCATCTTGCAGCTCCAGCAGCTCACGTATGCGGCCGAAAGTGGCATGAAACTGCTTGGCTCCATCTCGAGGCACCAGTCTTGTCCGTGCGCCTGAGCCTTTGCTCTGGCAAGGAGGGTGACCGCTACACCGCTCCGCACGAGCACGAACTGACGGGCACCAGTCTAATGCTGGCTCTTGGTGCTGCACAGCTGCAGCACGGTCATTTGGCGGACTGGATACAGCTGTACATCAGACCACGCGAGCGAGGTCAACTCCCTTGCCGGAGGAAAGCGTCGTAGCCTGCTGCCAGCACCGCCGCAGCGCCACGCTGGCCCACGGCCGCCAATGCACCTGCGAACGCTGCTGTAGGACTGATCGGCAGCGCGCGCCCAGCTGACTCCAGGCGTTGCCGTTTGGCCAGCGCCAGCTGCCCCACAGGTGTTCTCGCACGGGCGGGAAAGCGTGCATGATGCCTGGAATTGCATTATTAAGTTCAACTAGAGATTCTCCGCTCAGCCAACGGCTCCCGATGAAGGCGGCCACGCCAGCGTCGACCTGAGCGGGCGTCTGCGGCTGCCGGTGCTCCTGAATCCAGAAAACAACGACCTCCTCGCCCGCCGCACGATGCCGCCGCAGGGTGAGCGGCGTGACCAACGCCCCCTCGGCGGCTGGGACCTCGCTGCAGCTCGTTGCGCCATCGCCTGGGCCGTGACCCGGCTCACCTTTGCTGGTGCTTGCGCTGCCCGCTTGCCAGGGGCGGCTCTCCTGGCTCTCGCCGGCGGCAGCACTGGCAGCGGGGCTGCGGCGG